ATCGAAAACCTAAAAGACAAGAAAACGTTTGGGTCGCCTTAACCATACGAAAATTTAAACCCCCTTTGTGTATTTAAAATTAGACGATATACTTACACAACTCATTTCCTTTAAGCTAAATTGAATAGCGAAGCCATGATTTGATCTAATAAGTATCCGTTTGCTCAAAAAGTCCAAAGCCCATATTAACTTCTATCATAAATTATTATGTTTCTTAACCATTTAATAAACACACGGTTTAAAAAATTTAAGGTAATTCATGTTTCGCATGAAAATTTATAATTTTTTAATATACTATCAAAGTGTTTTATAAGTAGTTTATCACATTAAACAAAATTAGTAGATGGCCACTCACATTGTTCATTCATTCAAAAATATTTCAATAATGGGAAGATTATCATTTTAGTAAAAAAGTATCCCGCGGGGTGCGGGATCGTGGATGAGCACTGCTAAGGATTCCCATACTAGTACGAAACGGCCGTCTAATGCTTCCAGGTTTTCCATGTTGGTCTAGCTTCAATTGACTCATGATTTCAAGAGAAATTTCTAAAAAATCTCCACAAAACCCATTCTGATAATAAAAGGTATTCTGTCTAACTATACCAAAGTACTCCACTTTTAACTCAAAAATAGGTCAAAAGTACTTTTTCCTAAACTCTTCGACGTCATATTCATAAACGGAATGCAAATATTTCCATTTTATTTAGTCACTATTATTATGTTGTTGCAGTCTGCTTTTGCAAGTAAATTTGATCAGAAAATATGCTCATTGATTGTACAGCTAGCACTTCTTACGCTGAGCAGACCCCAATTTAAAATACCTCTTTCTAATTTTACTTGGAAGGATCTTGCAAATGGAATTACAAGTTCAGTGATATTATGAGTGTTGAAAGGTATGATTTGAATAGTGAGACTTGGGACTCTAGGTTAGCTGAAGTTTTGAACATAATGAGTTCAGAGCAAAAGTTATTATAAGTTCATCAGGCAGTGATAAATAGTGATGGGTATAAATATTTTTTAAGCAATGGGTTCAAGGTTTTATCAAAGTCCGTCTTTTTGATTGTACTACATACTCAAAACGTATCCTTTCGATATGCTCAATAATTCGAATAAACTGAAGCTATCCAAACAATTTTTTTCGAAATATAACTGGACTATGTCTTTTTATGACAAATCATAATGAATCAAACAAGCACCTTCACACATTGATCATGTCTTTCAATATTCCTACGTTTCGTGGAAACTTAAAGTACTCGGAATAGCTGACATACTTTTATTCGATTAAAGTGGTTCAGAACAACTGGTTATCAATATCATATCAGTTTACTTCAAAGTCTTATATTCAGTTGGTTAAGTTTAGGGGATATGAATAACAGCAAACACTTCCCTTAGGTTTTATTATAGTCGGTAATTATCAGCCAGGTGTATTTAGGTAGTGTAATTTCAGAACTTCATAAACAAAATGAATGCTTAAAGTGAATTTCTGATATTCAACACAACAATAATCAGATAGGGGTTTTGTGGATATTATAGTAATTTTTTTAAATAGTTGGATTCATGAGTCAATTGAGATGGTCGCGCGCGAGATTGATAGGTCTTGGGTTCGCATCTCGCGACGCGGGATGGATTGAAGGCTATAATTATCTATCAGTCAGCTCTCTCAGAATTCAGAGTATTTCACAGACTGTCTGCTAGTGGTGAGTATAGGAACTCTATATCAACTATAGAGAAATCTAGAATACACAAGAGATTCTACGAAATATGGATGAAATCTAAGAATCATTACTGAAACTGTATCATGGATTATTTAGGAAACAAGGATTCTAAGAGAAAGATTTATATTTTAAAAGAGATAGAGAACGATTTATATCGAAATAAATGATAAAATCACAATCGCTACTGTTTTATGGATTTTTAAATTAAAGATCTTTATAAAACTATTGGAAGAGTTCAGCATAAACTAGCCTAAATTTGTGGCATTTAAGTGTATACAAAGAAAATACAATTGTAAAGATATAGAAACGATCTTTTAATCAAACTAATGAATCTATTCTAAGGGAACTTATATACATTTGTAGTTCCACAAGTTAATGACTAAAAAACTCAAGCAAAGTTCTTAAGGTGAGCAGGAAAGCATCTTAAAATAAGTTTTCGATTGAGGTCATGAAGCGATTGATGTTAGACCACCATTGAAAACTTGGAAGCACTGGACGGCCGTTTCATCCTATCGTGGGACTCCTCAGAAGTGCCCATCCACGATCACGTTCGCAGGATTCGAAACAAGGGCCTTCGGTCTCGCGCACGAACGCCTAATCTCTAGACCACTGAGCCGAAACCCTATGGTGTTTGTGTCTAACTCCAACCAATCCACGAAATTGCGCGACCATATACCATCGTACTGAGGTAGATACCTGTCTCTACCCGACACGGGTTAGCTCTACTGGTCACGGCTTCTCACTAGGACTCCGAGAATTCTCTCACGAACCCAGTCACTAGTGAGCGCATGATAATTATCGGTATGGGGTTGTGGAGATTATTAAGTTTGGGGGGGAGTCATGATCTTAACCAAAACTTAATAATCTCCACAACCCCATAATGACATCTTAAAATAACTTTTAAATCCAGAGAACGTTTACTGACAACAAAAATCTGATAATATAAAGATAACCAGTAGATTGCTTAATAATCAAGGATATCAAATAGATAAGTTAAGTTTTCCTCAAATTCCACAGAATATCTAGTTGCGATTCATTCACTCAACTGTTTAAATACATATATTTCAGGGAAAGACTAAGTACCACACACAAACAACTGCTAAACATCTGGTTTTAAGTCTTTGAATTACGCTTTACATTACTTACAGTTCATTGTAACTGGTATGTCATTTGAATTTCATCCTATTTCGCTGATTATTACTAAATTTCCGGTGGAATTTCCTAAAATGTTTAGGTCCAAATGTTTTTTTGGTTCTTCTTACTTGTCTATATAAAAAGAACCATCCTACTACCTTCGCAAATTAACAAGGACTTCGTAGAGTTCAGAAAAAGTCTAACATTTCGACTTCACTAATAACTAGGGGTAATATTCTTCAGTTTTAAACATTTTTCATAGATATGAATTGTATACTTAACAAGATGTTTAAAGAGACATTTCAACTCAAAAAATCTGCATAAAGGATTCATATGTATCTACCCTGTTCTTACCGAAAGCATCAAAATTAATATCAATCAGGGAGAGAGAGAAAGATCTGGATAATTTAATGACCGTTGTAAAAATCACCTATTTTAAGGTGACCATCATATGTTTAATTTTATTTACATGAGGAGTGAACTGTTCATTAAATGGAAAAAGCCATATTGAGATTCCAACCCATTCACTTTGAGATCTGTTTATCTTAAGCTTAGTTTGTGTCATGGTTGTGGGTGGGCTTTATAGTGTCAAAATAAAACGAACTAGTTTAGTCTTTAAAGTCTTCCCAGCTGATGTTAGTTGATGAGGAAAATTTTATTTTCCAAAATGAAATGAGTCTCTTCAAACCTCTTAGTTAGACATAAAACGAGATTCATTTATATTGGTTGTCTAGGCGAACAATACTAGATTCGAGTCCCGGAGTGAATGTCAGCTCTGGGTCACGGGAGCGGCCAGTTGAAGAGTACTAGGCAGGATGGAACGTATGTCCTGGATCCCGCTTTTAGAATACTTAAATTTTTATCTGACAAGGTGGACTCCCCTTAATTCTACACATGCAATTACATAAACTTTTTTAAAACGGTATGAATTATTATCTCTAAAATTAGTGCAGGCAATTGGCTACGAGTTAGAATTTGATTTTTTTCAAAAAAACGTTACAATGCTAGAGAACTTCTTGAAATCTGACATTCTAGTCTTGTTGGAAACGTTATATCCCCAGAACCCACTTAGGAAGGGACCTAATCTTGTAATTTTGTTTAGAAAATTTGAATTTCTTTGTTTTCGCGCCGAAGGCGCTCTTGTCACCTTCATGTCGTATTTCCCACTGGGAAATATCTTAAATGCTATTGCTCCGTTGCATCGTTTAGTATGCTATTCGGTAACTCTCCCCAAGGACGGTTTTTACACTGTATATATACGTCTTGAATTGTGTTTGTTGTTATCGCTCGTTTCTGGCTGTTTTGCAGAATATACTTCCCATTCCAAGCTTGAACTTCTCCTTCTAGTTAGCGAGGCTGGGACGCATCAATAGCTAGCTTACTGATCTTTAGTCACCGAGTCTTTGTTCTCGTTCGCCGATTAGGTGAACTCATGATAGCTTCAAACCTAGCAAGTCTAACATCAATAGATTCACTGATAGGAATCCTATCAATCAAACTATTACAAGAAAAAGTCAACTGGCGAATTAACAAATCTAGCAAAACAATCATTCATAAAAAGCCTTCAATAAGAACAATCTAATCTAAAGCTTATAAATCAATTGAACAGCTCATTTCTACACAAAGTAATCGTTAGTGGTATTATCCAGAATAGAAAATAAAATAATAAAAAAATTAAACATATGTCATTAAATCATTTCACTCAAGAAACACACGATATGATACTAAAGCCTGTTGTATTAAAAATTAAAAAAAAACTTTTTTTGTTGTTGTCGTTCCTGTTGCTATGACGATTTCTTTATTTGAAACAAAAATTAATTTATAAAAAATATTTTTACATATCTTTGAGAATAAATTCAATGAATTCATTATATATGAAATAGTAACATGTCTCTATGTTACGACTTCTCTCTTTTCTTTTTCTTTTTTTCCTGTTTTTTTTTAAAAAAAAAAGGAATTTAACATGAACAAACCTTAGATAACTTGTAATAGATATATATCATGTTGCCATGTAAATTGTTATTTTTTTGTTGTTTTTTTTATTAAAAAAACAAAAGAGAAAAAAGAAGAAGAAAAGAAGAAATAAACCTGAGAAATTACTTTATAATAAAGCAAACAATTAAATAGTAAACTTAAAATGAGTTTATGAAGCGAACATGAGTTTTTCCTTTTTGTACAACTGAATAGTACATTTATGAAAAATAATGCAAAATAAAGGAAGAAAAGAGAAAAAGAAGAAGAAGAAGAAAGAAAGAAAGAAATTAGTATAAGGCATTTGATTCTTTATGCAGATATAAATTGTAATGGTAATTTCACTTTCATACAACCTACAAGATCTTTATTTTCCATTTCTAGTTTGATTGTAATATGAACATCGAGTTTCTGTGAGGGAAAATTTATAACAACAAGAAAAACGAAAAAAAAACAAAAACACGTTGGTTAGATGATTGAAAAATATGTTGATGGTGATGATGATGATGATCAGATTGTAAAGTAAAAACCTTTGTCTTAAAGTACAAAATACTACTATAGATACTGAAAAATTCATTTGTTAGGGTAGGCTTTTTCTTAATATGATAGGTTAGATAACTAGTATAAACAGATATTTGAATCCCTCGTGCAAGATCGTGGATATGCACTACTGAGGAGCCTCATACTAGGATGAAACAGCTGTTCTGTGTTTTCAGGTTTCAGTGGTGGTCTCACTTAAATTCAGTCGTGATTTCAACTTCAATATCTTCATTTTCAAACCCAATAAATGGCATGTTTGATAGAGACATTATGACAGAAAGGACATAAGTAAATATATTTGCATTAAAAAAAACCTCTAAGACGACCTATCTATCACCTAACATGTAATTAATGACAAAACATTTGACCATAATGATCGAAGAACTTCTGATAGAGATACCATTCAGAGAATTCTGGTCCAAACATCTCAATGTTAATATATCTGACTGTTATAATACGCAATATAAATTTGGATCTACAAGTGTCTTGAGTATCAGTCTCCTTCAAGATATCGGATGCGTCTCATTGAAGAGAATCAACATATATGAGACTTATATCCACGACTTTATACAAACCCCCATCAACCATGTAACATCAGAAATAATTCACTATGACTGTCCACTTAAGGAATAGGTTTTTACTCAATGACCACTTACGGTAAACGTTTGATGTTCATCCAAAATATTCTTTCCGAATTCTCATTGTGACATTCTCTAAACTGAACAATATAATTCAATCTTTATTTCCCCTTGCCATTAAAATTAGTTACGTTCATGACCTCTCTGCCCACTAATCTGTACTTAATATACAGAGATACGAATTGTCTTTATCTAGTTTAAGGCCTTGTAGAAATAAGTTACTTAATCCAACCTTAAAATCTTCAACGCGCAAGTTCAATGTATGTCTAAAACGGCTTTGGGGTCATAGGGAAGAAATCTATCTTACCTCTGAACTGTGATATGGTAGGTTGACAAACAAAAAGAAGGAAGACAATTTCAGCTGGAATTATTATTCTTGATTGACCTTTAGCTCAAAAATGAACATGAGCAAATATAGTGGCAACAAGATCACGATGTACAAGGAATGAAAAAACACAACTATATCCAAACTAAGACATTAGAGTAGAATAATGAAATACGGAGGTCATGTTTATATTACGGTTATTTTGAAATAGAGAGGAATATGATCGTAATTTGAACATTAAACAAAAGCTTATAATTCATAGAATAGACAAGGCACAGAAATAAATGTTGGCACTTTATAGGCTTTGAATTAAGTTAGATAATATGCAGAAAAATAGTTCGCGTTGTTTGTCGTTGCTTCTTTATTCCTCTATTCACATCAAAATGTATACCGTATGTTAAATATCTTCATTTTTTGTTGTATCTAACTTCTAAGATTTTATACACTTTAGCGTAATATTTACTAATTTTGAAACAATCTGTGATACATCGGTGAAATAGTCTCTATCTAAGCAAAGATATATAGTGGCTAGCAGTGGAATCCAAGACACGCGTTTCGTTTTATTTGGAACTCGTCAGATCTTTGCTTATAGAGCTTATAAATTAAGGCAATATTGAGACATTCCACACAGGATGCACATACACCAATAAGAGACTGATCAATTGCAGTCTTAAATAACGATTCAAGTAAACAATATCAAGTGAATTTAGTCTATTTCTAATGCTATTAGAAATGTGATGAGAGTTCCATCTCGGAAGTATATTTTATTTACCATTCTTTTGCATTTGATATAGTTACATTTGTAACTGAATCATTTTCTGATCATTAATTTTTAATGATAAATGATGTATAGCGGGTGAATTTTAGATCTAAAATTGCGATAAGCTACACTTTCATATTATGGAGATATTAAGTGGTTGAAGACGGTCATCAGGAAGCCATAGGCCTAAGCACTTACTACCGAAACGTATCCACAATCTTCCTCATAGGGTTCAAACCCATATAATCTAGTTCTACTGTTTGAAAGTCACCACTGAGCTATCTAAATAGCAACTGATTTCTTGTATAACTAGAACTTCTTCGATAGGTTTTGGGTTAGCACTCAGGGACTAAAAACAAACATGACATTGTTCACTGCTCAGAAATCAACTAATAATAACTCTGATAATATATTTGAACGGTTATCTGGTCCAACAATAAAGATGTGAATATATGCAAGTACTGTTACATTTTCTACGTTAGCTGTCGTAACTCGCAATGCGTGAAATGATGGTAAGTATTATTTCTCAAAGAAAGTGAGTAATAGGAGGTCCGTTATCACTTAATCGTTATGTTTCACTGTATTATGTTATTATGGTTACTTATTAGTAGTCGAAGTTGATTGAATCAAGTGGTAATTTTTTTATTTTAATTCTAAGATCGTTAGTTGAAGGACATTATCTGACAAACAGTAATAAGAATCAATTATCATCTTTAACGATGGTTCTATTCGGTCCTAGATTATTCAGACAGTCGTTGAGATATGTGCCTCATCTTTAAGTATTGTGATTCAATCTCCATTGAAGTGATCTGACTCTGGGACAGGAGAAGTTTCAATTAAAAACTTAATGGGCAGTATAACCATTGAACATATGATATTTTATGATTATGTTACTGTCATTACAGGTCATCCAACTAGCTTTCTAATAAAACCTGAGATACGTTTGCTGAGATTATTTGTTATTGAAGGTTTATAATTCATAACAGACTGTCGGAATTTCGATGGTGTTAAGTTCTCTGAGCTAAACAAATCTTTTAAGGAGATTCTAATTTACTTCAGGATAATATGTTCAAAGCCTATTACCTGCTGAAGTAAGTAATTAGTTATTTCACAAGTGAACAGCATTTTTTTTCTGACAGACTTGTTTGTGATCAAAAGTCTTTATAAACTCTGTTGTCTTCAATTTTTCTTGTATTCCTGCTACAGTCGATTAACGAAAAGTCGAAATTCCGAATTAGAAAAACTGAGAAGGCCAGAAAATATCTAGGAGCACAACATTCAAATCAACTCCAATCAATAAACACATCCAGATAGATCCAGTCTATTAACTCATATGTAATTTTAACAAGAAATAAGCACCTTTGGTGTTGTCCATAACGAAAATAAAATGTTTAGTAAATAAACCATCTAACTAAGAGTGTACAGCATCAACGAAAGAATCAGTAAAAATACCCACAATATACTCACCTTATCAGAAAATAAGAAATTAACTAAAAATCGCGGTAATTCAAGTTCATCTAGAATATTGTTAAGATTCAATTTCACACGTTGTCTATAAATACCCGGTGGCATATTGCAAAAGCACATTGTGTTTTTCTGATAAAATCTAGGTCTTTTCAGTGAACATTTTGATTGTGGAACATTTGCTGGCCAGTAATCACATACATTCTGGATCACTCTTTTTAAAAAAATTAGATAGAGGGGAAACATCAACTGATATAAATATAGTAAAATGTAAGTGTAAAATAAAATAATCTTTAAAGAAGTAAAGTTGATGCACAAGCTTAAAAAGAGACTAAATTAATGAGTATATTGTTTGAAATAGACTATTATCCGAATGGGGGTTTGTGGAGATTGTAGTGATTTCAATGGTTGAATTAATGAGTCGATTTAAGTTAGAACACTATTGAAGACCTGGAAGCACTGGACAGCTGTTTTATCCTAGTATGGGACTCCTCAGCACTGCGCATTCACGATTCCACACAAGGGACTTGAACCCATTAATTCAACCATTAAAACTAGATATATTTGCGAGCTTCGTATTTATGTTTGAATTGATATTAAAAATCCTGTCAATTACGTCGTTGTGTTAATTACGAAATGCAACCCATCACTTAGACAATGATGATAATAAGCAAAGATGAATAGTGGCTAGCAATGGAATCCAGGACGCGCATTTCGTCCTGTTTGGGACTCGTCAGATTCGAGTAAACAATACCAGGTGAAATTAATATTGATAATACTAACGAAACCATGTATTGTTGACATTAAAATGTGTCTTTTAAGCATTTAAATGCAAATTTAATGGTTTTATGTTTAGTATTTTGAAGGCCTTAGATTTTTTAGTGCGAAACTGTACCCTTTTGAAGGATTTTTAGAAATTAATTTACACTAACAGTAGTTTATGAAATCAACTGAGGTGGCACTTGAAAGTAGTGATCACCTGATAGCTATTTTCCCATTGTTGAAATCCATAGAAAAAACATCAATGAACCCACAAAAAGTTGAACCTGATACTTTTGGTCCTTAGAATGATAGCGTAACCTGGCTAATCACTTTTACTCTTTAACATCAATTGATAGAAATCAGAATCATGAATCATTGTATTCTGATCTACTGATTTAGATGGAGCGCTCCTGTCATCAAACTAGGTCATGAATACAATCTCTGGAAGATTTGTCAGTGTACACTATTCAAGTGTTCCAAAGTAGAATAATATAGTTGTCCAGAGTTTTTCCTTCACTAATTGCCTAAATTATGTCGATCAGTGATAAAGACCATCTCCTAAAAAAATATACTCTTTGATTGTAAATACACATAAATTACTTACCCAATGTATAACGGAGGAAATTCCGGATTTATACGTACTTCTAAAATAAGCCGATATTGTTCAGTTAATTCTTTATGTAATTGCATAACATACTGTATACGTGCTTGAACATTTCCTTGTTTTAAAATTAATACAGATGGACGAATAGCAATTTTGTGCACAGTGATTACAGCAACAACATTATTTGTAGAATGATGATTTAATGCAGATTTATTTCCAACATTCTGATTGGTTACAACTGTGTTGCTAGATATTTTCAATTTTTCATTTACATTGATCTCATTTTCATGAACCGAGCGTTTTGATCTCAATAAAGAGTAATTTTTATTCTGCTTTCTTGTTAACCATGTAAACTTTTTAGGAGATTTAATCCAATTTCTTTTACTTCGAAGCCATTGACTTTTTAAACCAGGTAACTTCTTATAATAACTTTTATATTTTCTTTTAGTTTGTCTTGAAAAACGTTTTTTATTATTATAATTGAATAAATTTCTTTCATACCAATGAATTTCTTCTTGAGATAACAAGTCCGGAGCTGGTTTGACTTCATCTGTAATACCAAGTTAAATGATAAATTACTGATGTCGATAACTTCTACTTCCCATTATATTGATCATAGAAATTCAAATCCATAAGAATATTCTACATCAAACCTTGATTACCTCAAAATAATTTATTTGAACAAATTACATATTCTTAGTGGCTAACAGTGAAATTTAAAACATGCATTTCATTCTATCTAGGGTTTGTTAACTGGATACACATGTGTCCAAGAATTTGTGTTTAATCCGGGATTCAAACTCAATACGTTTCGCTTCAAACACTAATGAGTTAGCCATTATGTTGCTGATATTAGTTTGTGAAATATGCTTTGTAAATCACTGGTCTACAAAATTTCATTTCTTTTTACATCTGATTAGGTCATCTTGAGTAGATTGTATCACGTTTATGGTAAGTAATAATGTCAATGGCTATTCTATGTACATTTTTCATGTTCTCACTACTTTGCTGTAAAATATTTCGCATCTCTGATCAAGGAACATAATATGAAACCATTCCTAAAACGTTTATAACAGATGAGTAAAAGTAGCCCATTATATTATGACCTATCATTTGACTCTAGCATAACATTTCAATATGGAATGATTTTAAATTTTGTGAATATAATAACATGTAACAACTTCTGAATAAATCTAACCATATCTTTGTATGCCATCTAATTAGTAATAATACTGTGTAATATATTCTTACATTATTTAAAAATTTAAGTAATTCATTTGTCGGGTTAAACAAGAATCTCGCAAGCGGGATCATGGATGAGCACTGCTGAAGAGTCCCACAATAGGTAGAAACGGCCGTCCAGTGTTTATAGGTGGCCTAACATCAATCGGTTCATGATCTCAACCTAAAACTTAATAATCTCCACAACCCTATACTGATGCACATTCTTACTAGTAATGTTTATTTCTGTTATCAAAGGAGTTGACTACTAGTCATTGATTAATTCATTTTGATGTTGACTGTTTGAATCTTACTAATGATGTTTAGGACTTCAATTGATTAGTCTTTAATTGGCATACATGCATCCTGTGAGAATTTCCGCGATATCGCCTTAAGTCACAAATATTATAAGCAGTGATGGATGGTAGCGTGCAAAGGAATAGAGGACGTGAGATTCGTCCTATTTGGGAATCGTCAGTTGGATGTACCTGCATCTCAGAGTTGATTCCCACTCCGAGACTCAAGCCCATTGAGTAAGCTAGTATCTATCTAGACTCAGTAACTAAGTGGATAATGTGATGGGGTTTCCAGCGAACGGTAATGGGCTCGAGTTCCGGAGTGAACGTCAATTCTAAGATACAGGTACATTCACGTGATGAGTCCCACATACGACAAAACGCCCATCCTGAATTCCACTGATAGCAACTATTCAAAGAGTCATTTTTTTCAAATAACAAAGATTCATGAAAAATATATCCTAATTAATGTAAAGATAAATGATTCGTTTTTACTTTATCGAGTCAAACTATACGAAATAAAGGGTCCTGAATCGTGATCTAATTGCTTAGAATCAGTTTCTTTATCAATAAAAAGATACATTCTTCGTATTTTTAGGCGAAAAGAAATTTTAACCTATTTTTCCTTGTTTAAAATCTTATCTACTAATCTAGTTAGTTGGTACCCATCACACGCGAACTAGGTCAATCTATGTATATATATATATATATATATATATATATATATATATATATATATATATATATATATATATATATATATATATATATATATATATATAAACATTTGTAGTAAATCTATCTTCAAAATGTCAACCGAATATGAAATAAGTTAATTGACCAAAATATAAATGGCTTATATAGGTATCATTTAAAGTTGACCACCAACAAATCGTGTGAGACCTCCAACGTAGTGAGATATACAAAAAAAAACTAATTAAATATTTGTAATATAATACATTTATATGTAAAAGGTGTACGAGGAAGGAAGAGGAGGAGAAGGAGGATAGTGGTGGGGGGAGAGGAGGAGGTTGATAGTTGTGTAGATTAGTAATAAGTAGAAAAGCATTTGCAAGCTGTGTTAAATAGTGAATGACTATCGTAATTTCTCCTTCGTATTCCTCTTCTTCTTATTATTATTTTCATTTCCATTATTGTTATCAATATCCTCTACCTCACATGATGTAAATTAACGTACAAGTTGAAAAGTAAGAAAAACAACATAAACACTAATGAATAGACAAATAAATAAATAAATATCATCATTTATATTTGGTGTGAATCTCCTATTGTAGAGTATAATATCATGTAGGTCTTGGAAATTTATTGAAAATACTATTTACAGTTTTACGGTTAACTTCTATTTAGATTAGATTAGATTTATATAATTCATAATTTGTTTATTAAACCAAGCTGCATGTATGAGGCTCCTTGATGTAGTTGAATAAAAGTAGAATGATCCAATTGTACAAGTCTTACTAATCATTTACAGAAAAAAAACATTTCAAGCAAATAAGATAATGTTTCACACACGAAACCAAAGGTCTTAAGTACTATTCCCGGTTGGAGGTTTATAGATGAACACTATAAAGGACTACTAATATTAGGATCATACAGCGATTTGATAATTTTTGGTTTTCAATGATTATTTAACATCGATTGAATCGGTGTCAGGTAAGGCTGCTTACTCTCACCCTTTCTCTTTCTCCTGGTGATCGACTGGATCATGAAGACGTCAACATCTGAAGAGAAACACGGGACACAGTAGACATCTAGGATGCAGTTGGACGATCTAGACTTCGCAGATGATCTGGCCCTTCTGTCGATCACGCAACAACAAATGCAGGAGAAGACGACCAGTGTAGCAGCAGCCTCAGCAGCAGTAGGTCTCAATCTACACAAAGGGAAAAGCAAGATTCTGCGATACAACACAGCATGCATCGATCCAATCACAATTGACGGAGAAAATTTGGAAGATGTAAAAACCTTTACATATCTGGGCAGCATCATTGATGAACATGGTGGGTTTGATGCGGATGTGAAGGCGCGGATCGGCAAATCAAGAGCAGCATATTTACAACTGAATGACATCTGGAATTCAAAACAACTGTCAACTAACACCAAGGTCAGGATTTTCAATTCAAATGTCAAGACAGTTCTACTGTATGGGGCAGAAACCTGGAGAACTACGAAAGCCATCATCCAGAAGATACAGGTGTTTATTAACAGTTGTCTACGCAAAATAATTCAGATCCGTTGACCGGACACTATTAGCAACAACGTACTGTGGGAGAGAACAAACCAGATCCCAGCGGAGGAAGAGATCAGGAAGAAGCACTGGAAGTGGATAAGACACACATTGAGGAAAGCACCCAACTGCGTCACAAGAAAAGCCCTCACATGGATTCCTCAAGGCCAAAGGAAAAGAGGAAGACCAAATAACACATTACGCCGGGAAATGGGAATAGACATGAGAAAAATGAACAAGAATTGGATGGGACTAGAAACGAAGGCCCAGGACAGAGTGGGTTGTAGAATGCTGGTCTGCGGCCTATGCTCGATTAGAAGTAACAGGCGTAAGTAGGTAAGTAAGTAAGAATCATAATTTTAATGAGAAGGGTCTTTTGGAAATTTATATGTCCAATTTACCTGTTACTCAATTGGAAACAAGCTAAACACTTTTTATTCACAATTGATTGTTTAAAGAAAATCTGATAACCTTTTGAGTAATTTAATATTGTGTAGATAAAAAAAGTTTTTTATTTTTATTTTCATATTAGTTACATTGTAAACAATCCACATAGAATTATCTACTCACTTATAAAGATCACTGTTCATTTCAAAATAAGCCTTTAACAATGAAATAACTTCTGCTGAAATATAGTAACGAGAGCAGGAATGAATAACTAAATTGTTGAAGTGTTATGAATGAAGACAACCATTAAAGCCTAATAGTCTTTTGATTAGTTTTGATTCAATGATTAAAATTTAGAATTCTACTTGGTTAACCTATTGTTATACTCTATATAGTCATAAGTTATTCAGTTTTCTAAACTATCGAGAATCACTGTGCTCGATTATACATCTTGATAAGTTTTATCTAAAGTTTTTAGAACATAATAAATACATTCATCACCATCAGGTAAGTTTCAATAGCATTTATGGAGAGACCATAATTTATGAACGGACCAATCAGATTTACGATAACAGGTTTCAAATTTTGGCGCAAAATTAATTCATCTATTTGGCTAAATAAAGTTTTAGCATTATAGCTGATATCAGTTCGTGATGAAAATCCTAAATCTTATTTCTAGCCTTAATCATCAAATGTAAATCATAATTCGAATTCCTCACATTGGTTTAAAATCCTGATTTAGCCGTAGTATATACGTCAACATTCTCAAGGACTTTTTAGCGTCGCTCAAAGGTCATCTATAAATTATAGTCTCACCGTATTTATCTCATCTAATGTACAGACAATCATGAAACTTCTTACATTAAATTGTTACAAAACTGATTAGTGAATATTATCAATAAGATATCTGAATTACCATTATTCTTATTCATTCTCTAATGATCCAGATTAATGTATTGAAAAGATTTGACACAATTCAATTTAAATCTAAGTAAGCTATAATTAATGGAAACTGATTTCAGAAGGTTCTGTATGATTCTTCATGTTGATTTCATCAAAAAAAGTAGAAGAAAACGTGTCTATTAAAAACTAAATTAAAATGAGTTATCCCTTTTAAATTTGTTTATACATCTCTAATTACTTAAACCAAGTTAAATATATAGACAGGCGAGTATTCATGAAGAATTCCATATTGGGACTAAGAAACTGTTTAACGCTTACTTGTTTTATCATTATTAATATTATCTTTTTGGCGCAATATAGAAGTTTAATAGTTGATACCGTGAGTCAATTTTAAGATAGATCACCATTGAAAACCTGGAAGCACTGGAAGACTGTTTTGTCTTAGTCTAGGACTATTCATCAGTCCATATTCATAATCTCACATACGAGATTCGA